ATAACCAGCACACCACCCACAGCCTGACGGTGAGCTGGGAGCGCCCCCCCGGTGAGCTGGACGGTTTCCGGCTGCAGCTCCTGGACCAGGCGGGCGCCGCCGCGCTGCTCAACCAATCGCTGGCGGCCTCCAGCCGGCGCCACCGATTGGACGGCCTGACCTCGGGGCGCTGGTACCGCGTCCGGATGCTGACCGTGAGCGGCGGCGTGCCCTCGCTGCTCGCCGCCACCGCCGAGGGACAAACGCGTGAGTGTCTCTGTGTCCGTATCCGAGCGTCCGAGGGGGGAATTGAATTGAATTGAATTGAATTGAAAGCCTTTATTGTCATTGTACACAGTACAATGAGATTTGGAGAGCAGCTCTGTAAAGTGGACACATAAATAACACATACATATACAATACATTAGTGCAACTGGAGTACTGGTACTAGTACTAGTTTAGATGTTGATTGTGTAAGGTGACAGGTTTGGGGAAGAAGCTATCCCTGAGTCTGTTTGTTTAGGCTCATCTGGTGGTTCCTCCCTCAGGCCCGGCCGCGGTGGGGAATCTGACCGTCTCCTGGACCAACACGTCCTCCCTCAGCTTCTCCTGGCGCCCGTCTGACGGACACGTGGACGTCTACAACCTGTCGCTGTTCAGCGTCGCCGCGGCAACGGCCGGCGATGGAGCCCACAGACCGGTGGGAAGCAGAGCCTTAATCTGGGAAAACACTGAGCGATTTCTGCCCCTTTTTGACACGATCTTTAGCTTGTGCAAGAATTTCTAGGATCGATTTTCAGCTCCTGGTGTGTCTCACATGGTGTCGAATACTAGGCGTGTCCCGATCCGATATCTGGATCGGATCGGCTGCCTGTATTTGCAAAAAAATGCGTTGCGGTCGGCAGGAGAAATTGCAGATCCAGTTTTTTTTTATTCTGATATCCCACACGAGCATTAGCATTAGCATCTCCTAACCCACAGGTCTGTGTCCTAACCATTAAGTTGTTATCAGAGTAAATCCCTGTTCAACATGAGTCTGACAACTAAGTAAGTAGATAAATAACTTTAAACTTTAATACATGCTCTGATCAGGACATCCCTAGTATAATCACTTTCTTAATTCTCAATTGAAGATTTATAGGTTCTTTCCTCAGGTCTTAGAGAAGGTCTCCTCAATCTTGAGGATTGTATAATACAGATGCAGGATGAGGACAGACTTTACATCTTACTTCAGACTCAGAGGGGTTTATTTTTTATTGAAAATGTTTTGTTTTTTTTATGAATTATGTTTATTAGGTATTTTTGAACATTTATACAAAAACAGGAAAGGAAAGAACAAAACGAGGACAAAACTTATACAGCACTGATACAGAAAACAAGACAAAATCAAAATTGGAGGCACGTACATGAATTACAGCGTCACATGAGAAACATAACCATTTTATAAATACACGTCATTCAGATTCACGTTACTGGTTTTTCATTTTTGAAATTTCGAAGTGTTCAAGAATACGTTCCCATCTTTTCTTAAAAGCATAACATTTCCCATTCATACAATATCTAAATCTTTCTAGTACAATAACTTCAGACAGCAAATTTTTCCATAGCTGGATCGACGGGGAATCAGAACCAACCCATTTAAGCATTATTGATTTTCTGGCCAACATCAATAGAAATTGCACAATTTCTTTGTGAGCATCCAAATGACTGGGTATGAATCCAAGGAGACACGTGATTGGACTAGAGAGAAGTGTTTGTCCTATAGCGGAGCTAATTTCTTTACATACTGCATGCCAGAATGTCTGAAAATGTATTTTTTTAAGAAGTGTATGCGTTTATTTATTAATTAATTTATTTATTATCTCTCCTCAAAGATCTGCCTTAATGAGGCTGGGCTTCCTTCCTCTGTTTCAGTCATTTATCTTTTCTTCTTCTGTGGTGGTCAGGACTCAGGAGAGCTGGTGGGGCAGCAGGAAGTCTCTTCTTCTGCAGACAGCTGCTTTTTCTCCGGCCTGCGGGCAGGAAGTCTGTTCAGACTGAGGGTGGTCAGCTGGAGCCGAGACATGAGCAGCGACTCCTCCGTCCTGGCCAGAACCGGTCAGTCCTCCTCCTCTTCCTCTTCATCCTCTTCTTCTTCTTCATCCTCTTCCTCCTCTTCTTCATCCTCTTCTTCTTCCTACTCTTCCTCCTCTTCATCCTCATCCTCTTCCTCCTCATACTCTTCCTCCTCCCCTTCCTCTTCATCCTCTCCTTCTTCCTCCCCTCCTCCTCTTCTTCCTCCTCCTCCCCCTCCCCTTCCTCTTCATCCTCTTCTTCTTCCTCCCCCTGCTCTTCATCCTCTTCCTCCTCTTCATCCTCTTCTTCTTCTTCCTCCTCCTCCTCTTCCTCCCCCTCCTCCTCCTCTTCATCCTTTTCTTCTTCTTCCTCCTCTTCCTCCTCCTCTTCATCCTGTTCTTCTTCCTCCTCCTCTTCATCCTCTTTTTCCCCCTCCTCTTCATCCTCCCCCTCCTCTTCATCCTCCCCCTCCTCTTCATCCTCCTCCTCCTCTTCCTCCTCCCCTTCCTCTTCATCCTCTTCTTCTTCGTCCTCCTCTTCTTCCTCTTCCTCATCCTCTTCCTCCTCCTCTTCCTCCTCCTCTTCCTTCTTCCCTTCCTCTTCATCCTTTTCTTCTTCCTCCCCCTCCTCCTCTTCTTCCTCCCCCTCTGCCCCTCCCCCTCCCCCTCCTCCTCCTCCTCCTCTTTCTTCTTCTTCTTCTTCTTCTTCTCCTTCTCTTCTGCTCCGTCCACTCCTCTTCATCCTGTCCCTCCTCTCTTCCTGGTTCTCTACAGTTCCAGCTCCAGTCCGGTCTCTCCAGGTCCAGAGCTCAGGCCGGACCGACCGGTTGATGGTCAGCTGGCAGCCGGGGGAGGGAACCTGGAGCAGCTACCAGGTAAACTCACCTGTGCATTCAGCCACATACAGCCAGCCTGGAGAGAAGTAGGAATCCAGGAAGCAGCCTTCTCCTTCTGGTTAAAGCCCCTAAAACGCCCCTCCAGTCAAAGCCGGGGTTTGCTTTATCTATCAAAGAAACGTAGCTCCACTGTAGCAGTTCTGTGCGTTTTCATGGGAGTTATTGAGGTTTTGGGACCTTTTGGGCGAGGGATTACATCATTTAGGATGTGATAAAGAAAGATGGAGCATTTTAGGTGAAATGAGTTTGTCTTTCTGAATGGAGAAACAGCTGGAGGAGCTGATGAGTCCATCTTTCCTTTTCTGCCCCCTACCTTCTACCTCAGTACTCATCCCAAATTTTAAGCTAACACGACACGCTAACATCATGAGTTCAGACTCATCTATCAAAGAAACGTAGCTCCACTGTAGCAGTTCTGTGCATTTTCATGGGAGTTAATGAGGTTTTGGGACCTGCACCGATGCTGCAGCCTGTAGGAGCCTCGGCTGGACATCCAACTCCTTCCACATCCAAATCGGCCATTTTGATTCATGTGACTAACAGCTTTCTCAGGTGGAAACGAAACTTTACTGTCTATACGAAGTCAGAAGATAAACGATGTCCTAACCCTGACCCTAACCTTTCACCCTTCATAATTGTGAGGAATAAATATTTTATGGTTAAACTTGTTTGGACTTATTGTACAAACCTATTTAACATCCACTATTTTAACATAATATTATGGATAGAGTTTAATTCAGTGTTTGCCAGATTAATTTCAGAATTTTTAAATTAAAGTCTATATTGCCATGAAGCAATTGGGATTTCCTTGCCTGGGATCTTCCTATTGGTGACCTAATCAAAATGTCCGACTTGGATGTGGGGGGAGTTGGATATCCATCCTTGTTTTCCTCCAGTCTTGAACCGAGGAGCTCTTTTTGTTACTGCTTTACAACAGCTGAAAGGAAATAAAGGAATATTTTAGATTTTTGTGTCCTCACAAAATGCATCTGAAAACCCAAAAGTGAACAAAGGTGAACGTTTCCTCCTGAAAGCAACAGTTGGTGGCAGGTCTTTTCCTGATTTAAGGTGGTGCTGTACGACTCTTCTGGAGCCAGACAGGAAGCCAAGACCCTGGGGGCGGAGCACAGGGGCCACGCCTTCTCCGGGCTGGTCCCTGGTAGGCTGTACCGGGCTGAGGTCATCACTCACAGCGGGGAGCTGACCAATAACGCGTCTGCGTTCGGCCGCACCGGTAAGTCCCCCAAAGGCCAATTCAATTAAATTCAACTTTATTTATACATCACCACATCACAACAACAACTATCTCCCAGCTTTCCAACCAGAGCAGCTCAGACTCTGAGTTATTTACAGAAGAACAACAGTTCCACCAAGAGCAGCAGTAGGAGACACAGGGAGGGAAAAACTGAAGCAAGAGGGCAAGAAAGAGAGGGGGTGGGCAGGAGAGTGAGAGAAGGACGAGAGCGAGAGAGAAGGATGAGAGACGGGGAGAGAAGGAAAAGAGAGAGGGAGGGGGAGAGAGAGGGGGAGGGCAAGAGAGGGAGAGAAGGACAAGAGAGAGAGAGGGCAAGAGAAAGAGAGGGGGAGAGAGAGAGAGAGGGGGGAGATAGACGACAGAGAGAGAGAGAGGGGCAAGAGAGAGAGAGAAGGATGAGAGAGGGGGAGAGGACAAGAGAGAGAGAGCAAGAGAGAGAGAGGGGGAGAAGAACAGAGAGAGTCCAGTTACTAACATGTCCCCCAAAGACCCTCCATTGGGGCTTTAACAC